TCTCATATTTCTGACTAAAAGACGCTTGCTTTGCAAGCTGAGTTCGGGTTTAAACGGTGAGCAAACCTGTCTTAGTGCACAGGAATGACAACACATGTCACCATGGGGATGTATTGTGAGCACGTGAGTTTATTCTATATTTTCTTTCTACGTGTAGATGATGATTAGGACCTTACCACTTTACATCAGATGGGCCGTCAGCTTGTTTATAATTTTAATTAAATATTTATGTATAATTTTAATGACAAACAAATTGACAGCCAGTTATACCTCTGTACTCTGTATTATCTCACTCTCTAACTGTAACACATCTTACAAAGCAAGGCGGCTGAAATAGTTGAGCTATGTAATATTATGTTATCTGTGGTTGAGCCAAAATTACCCAAGCAGAAAACTTTGTACAAGGTTTGCCTCAGTAAAAAAACAAAGAAATGAAAACTTCGGTCACTCTTTTTAACGTCTAAAAGAACTGAAAACGCATTGTACTTGCAATTTTAAATGCAAGATTTCGAAGCGTATAGTTTCATGTTGTTTTGTAAAATAATTCTGTATGTCACGCATATCGGATATCCGTGTCCGAACACCATCATTATACGGATATCGGATATCAAAGCCGCAATTTGTTACTCTCTGCCGGCGAAACATTGCCGAATAATTTTAGTGTATTTATAAATGATTTTACATGTTTTAAATGGCCAGTTTATAATACGGTAAATATTAATATTGTTTAATTGTAATTCATTTTAGTTGTATCTAGCATCGCTGTATTTGTGGTTTAGGAATAACTAATTCTATGTTATGGATTATCTGCTTATAATTTTCAATTTAAATACTTTCAGTTTATGCAGTAAAACGTAACAAACATCCAGCTTTAGAAATTACGTGTTGATAAAATTAATGGGGTTCATTTATACTCTCCGTATGTCAGAAATATATAGATTATATATCTGCCAGATTTGAATTAAAATAAAACTTTTAGGACTTTAAATTAGACTCAGTTGTCTCATTATCTCCTACTACATTGAATAATTCTTATTGAAAATATTTTTTACAGAAAATATTTTGTATTTTTTATGTGTATTTTAATAGACGTGTTACTGTATTTTTTTTTACAGAAGGTTTACTATGAATATTAATCTTTGTGAGATTAAAAGTACTTAGTAAGTTCAAAATAATTTAGTGGCAGGCTTAAATTTCATAAATATAGAATTGCTTGCGTTATCTTTACTAATATTAGGTTTATAAGCTAAAGGGTGTTCTAGTTTGGTTGGATGCTTTAATATTAGGTGTTTCATAGCCCATTGATCTAGGATGGTTATAGGTTACATAACATCATGTTACGACCAATAGTAGTGGAGCATCATTGAAAGAGGCATATGAAATTGCGGGAATATTCTAGTTGTATATGTTAATGTACAGGGTCTCATCAAGGTAAATAAAGAACTTGTATTTATATGTGTTTAATTGTGTTATATTCTGATTCAATAAATTACTCACATAACATACCTTTATACAGCTTACACATTGTGATAATAAATTTACAAATATCCATTTATCACCCCCATTCATAAATTAACTTAATTATTTTGTACCTAAAAATTAATTCATCTACAAAAATGTACACAGTTTTACAAACAGACTTTCAATAAAAAATGTTCGTACAAGATTGATTGCATTACTGTAAAATCAGTATAAATAATATTATTAACACTTGTTAGAGATAATATATAATAACTTATAATAATTTTGCCAGTTACAAAATAATGTAATTTATTGGGAAGTATCTATATATAAATTTAACAAAATAGTTTGAACTACGTTTATAAATAAATAAGATTTATAGTATCGTATTAATGAAAGCAAATTGACTAACAATAAAGCAGTATGGACACAATTCTCTTGTCTTCATCTGTTATAGTTTGATATTACACAATTTAATAATTTCATTTTAAAATCAGTCAATCTATATTATATACTTAGTTGTGGTGTATTTTAATATCTATTAATAATTAATTTTGAAATCAACAATTTCAATATTTTATTCAATCAACATCTCTATATTGACTTCAATTGTAGTACACTTCTAAAGAAAGTTAGTTTTTCTTAAGATATTCGTTTTTGGTCACAGGTAGTAGATATATAGTAGTAGTATATTATACATAAATAATACATAGTTATTAACCTAATAAATAAATAATATATAGTTTATATTCGTTAAATAAATAAGGAATTCCCCACGAATAAAGACACAAACGCATAGTAAACCTCTATTAGTTATATAATTTACTGACTGATTACCTACGTGGTCAGTATAAATAGGATATTTATTAGTATAAATTCAGGTAATTTAAATATTTATATAATTTGTACCTACAAGTGTTATAAAATATAATTGATAAATACAATTTATGTTTTCCTGACTATAACTGTACTCGGAACTAGCAATAATTAAGTTCCTTTGAAATTTTTCAGGCGAGACAACGTTCGTACAGTTGGTCAAAAAAACATTATAATTTATAGCCATTCTTAAGTAATTATATACTATTGAATTGGTTACTCTGTCACGTAGGTAGATCTCTCTCTGTCATATAGGTAATGAAAGAATTTGGAATTTTAGTGAATTATTTTAAAAATATCCAAGCGATCTTCAAGTAGCTTGAAAAAATAAAATCTTGTTTTCCTACTCTATTTGGGCGCAGTGATCAGATCAAACTTGGAATATTGGGTGTAATTCACACAATTTGGACGCATTTTGTAGCGATGGCGGGAAATTTCAGGTGAACAAATTTTTTAAAGATTTGTAGGGGGGTGATGGGGAATGTAGTTGTATGCGTTTTTTAGCACTTTAGTGTACTTAGGTTTAAAGAAGAAGAACATTAAACGAAGACACAAGAGGTGATACCACCTGACCACCGCTATAGATATAAGAGTGAAGTGAGGAATTCATTGCTTGAAAGCTAGAGCAAGTAAGACGCGAACGGTTTCTTAAGTGAGTTCTAAGTTGTAAATTTTATTATATTTAACGAAATTATATTGTTTTGACTCCCCTGACCTACATATAAGTACCTATATATTATGTTTCTGTATTCATTTCTTTTATATTAATTATTAAATTTTACCGCTTTATTATCTCTGATCAATGCGACGTTTGACTGGTAGAGAATGCAAATGTGCATTAAGTGCGCTATTTTTGTGTGCAAAAGAATAAATAATGATGTAATATATATGTATATATGGGGGAAGGGGATTGTTAGTAATGAGGACTTTTGACCCCATTGCTAGCTATGTACCATGTCAGGTTGACCTCCACGCGGTTCCCCCTGGAAACCATCGTGATAAATTCCTGATTAATCTGTCACGATGGGCTAACCGACCTGACGTCATGCTCATCATATCATCCTTCACTGGTGCCCCGCCAGCGTAAACCATTAGCGCAGGCGGGTGCACCATTCCATTATCAAGCCTCAAAACAAAACTATATGTATATATGTGTATATGTATACAAATATGTATATAGATACACGCTTAATGGTTAAGCGTGGTACGTATAACTAATAATAACAATAAACCGAGTAGTCCATACTGGCAGTTAATTGGCGCGACTATCGGTCGTCCCATATCATAATATTCATTAATTATTGTTGTTATTTTACGATCCGAGATTGTATTACTTTTTCCAATAACAATAATTACATTTATGCGCTCATATTTAATAAACAATGGACTCTTGATATGTTACGGTATAGGTTATTTAAGTGAGTTTTGTTTGAATATTTCGTTCTACAGTCTACCGGTTTAGCAGAACGCCTTGCATCTGATAATTGCGGGTTAGATTCCTCGCATGATTGTTTTATTAGCCTGGCTCTTTGTTATATTATGTATTTATTTCTAACAAAATATATTTTAGTATTTGTATCAATTATTTAGTATCTACAAGCAGAAACTTAAGAGCAGAGTGTAAGCATTGGCCCTGAAGTATTGGAAACAAATATACATACTTACACGACAAAATGTATGCATATTAAATTTAACATATCTTCACATAATATTTAAATAACTACAAGTTTTTATCTGTGACCATTGCAATTGCAAGATCAGGACATATCCTAATATGATGGCCAAATGATATATCTATGTATATATCGTTTAGCTAGGACATAAATTAACTATGTCAGCCACCACACCCCAAGTTAGTCAAATTAATTACTTTGCTTAATAATGTACAACATATAAACGATCGTACAGACACACTTTCAAACATCTATAATATCAGTGAAGATGAAATAGAAGTTGAATTTAATCATCACGCCTATATAAATAAGAGATAAATAAAATTAATTAGGTATAATTACAATAATTACACGCCACTAGATATAAATACATGATTTATAATGTAAACAAGGATCCATATTCACATTATAAATGCAAAAGTGTGTCTGTCTGTCTGCTTGTAGTATTCACGCGACTAAACGGCTGGACAGATCTTAATGGCTCTAAATGGTAGATAGACTGTAATATGAGGACAGATATATTTTTTATTACAATAATAACAGATGATGTTTTCTTTTTAATCACAGGACAAGTTACACAATGTTCAGTCACAACCTTATATAAACTGACTAGACAACTGATATAAATACTTATATATATTTTTTTGTAAATATATACTTAATATATATATAGAAAACATCTAAACCGATACAAACAGTCCTACCCGTGAATACAAGTATTTATAGCGTGCGGGATATCGATTCTGCGACCATCATAATGTAAAGCGGTGCGGCCGTCACACATATATATATATATATATATACTTCTATATAATTGAAATGGTTATCAATCATTAAATCAATACCAAAACATTACACAGACTGTCATGTATTTAACATACACACACGCATTTGGCGAATGGAGAATAGATTGATATCATTACATAGTATAAAACAAAGTCACGGTCGTCTGTTGTCTGTCCGTCTCTATATATGATTAAATCTTTCAAAATTACGCAATGGATTTTGAAGCGATTTTTTTAAAATAGAGTGATTCAAGAGGGAGTTTTATATATATAATACATGTATATCCGTGCGAAGCCGGGGCGAGTAGCTAGTTATTTAAATAAATTATGGTCGAGTTTTGACTATTGGGCGACCACTAGATGTATTAATTTAAAATAAAAAACATCATCTTTGTAATTAAACGAAATTTGATGCAAATCCTTTAGTTTATCATACAACAGTGGACAAGGGCATCACTTCCAGTGTCTCTTATTTAATTATATAGCGATTGCATTGTAAATTAGAGTTGGGACTCTGGGATTTGGTGTACCGCCATGTTAGAGCATTAAAATTTACTCTGTAGTGCACTTGAGTTAATTGTTATTACCGTTTTAAACACACCTAAATAACGGAATGACCCAATGTCTAGTTTTAGTGGCAACTGGGAACGTGTAGTGTCCTAATTTCAGTGAATAAGACAATAACAATAATCTAAGGACAATTCACACAGCGCCATCTAGACTCAAGTTAAGCTAGCTAAAGCTTGTTATGGGTACTAGATAAGTGATACAAATACATAGATATATACATTTCGTCGTAAATACATACATTGTATATATAATGTAGAGATGTAGTGTATTTATAAATATAGATATAGTTGACGGGTAGATAAAGGACAGACTGATTGTACATGGCAAATATAGCAGTAAAGCGAGCAGGTGTATTATTATTTATCCCAGTATTTATATGTTAATATTGATAAAAGAACACAACATGTATTCATCTGATGTAACATCTACAACAGTATTATTAATAGCGAATAAATTGTGTAATATCAACCCACCATGAAAATGCCTGACATTAAATGATTTTTACCTCACTATTAACATATCAAACATCACCAACAGTCTAAATAAATACGTATATAATTAATAATTTGTACAGTATCATACCTATATGCTCACTTATTTTTGATAATACATACCATTTGGATAGTTACAAATCAACAATAAAATATAAAACTTGCAAATAAAATAATATACCTTACGATCAACAATTACGTTATATATTATTGCCCCAATGTTTTGTATAAAGAAATATAATATATTAACGTTATAGAGGAAAATAAATAAGGTACCTAAAGACTATTTACACTACCTTCTATATAATACAAACTTCCTACTGCTAATATTCACACTGGATATGTTAACTGGTACTATCAAGTCTTTATTACTGAAGCTGATTAAAACTAATGATAATTAACGATTCGTTAAACATTAAAGCAAAGGAACATTCCACAAAATGCTTTCATTTCGAGTCACTGTAAAGTCAATTGTGTCTCGAGAGCCTCATTATTCAAATGTTTGTTTAAATAGTCACTTTCACGTGTTTAATAAAGATTCTATACTGAACGGATTATGTTTTCTTGTTCCCCCGTTTTTGGATAAGTCCTGTTCGGTGGCAGTACCACCACCGCTGAGATCTAAAGAGACGGCTCTGCTTGGGTCGAAGTCGAATTTCTCAAAATTTCCACCAGCGTTAGTAAACTGCTTGAAGAAAGAAGATTGAGGATCGGGAATTGGGCTAAAATTCCTTCCTGAATGGGCATCTGAAGTTGAACTATCAGAATTATTGATGCCATCTGCTCCCGACGGCGCCCGCAATCTTCCTGATAGAGAAAAGTCTTCTGGCCCCGAGTCGTGACAAGAATCGCCTCCTACCACATCGATCATGCATTCTTCTCCTTCTATTTCTCCATCAGAGTCAGAATAAAGCCCGCTGTTTCTATGCTGAGCCAAATATTCGGCCTTTAGAGCTTCAAGATCGACTGTGATGCCCTTAGCTCGAAGTTTTCTTGCCTGACGATCTAACGCTTTTGCCAGCTTCTTTCTTCTTCTCGCCCTGTTGATAAAATCAGTAGGGCCTAATTAGTATAGAACCTATAACAATCAACAGTTTTACGAATATTCTAATACTAATACAAATCCTAACTAGCGATACAGATTCTTTAATTATAATGACTTAATATTTGTTTTGTTGCTTACTCCTATACCGAAAACTTAATGAGTTAATCAATAATGGTTATTCAGATTTAATTTTTTTTTACAATTTTAAAGAAATTTCATTACAAAACAGTATGAGGTTCCCTACAGGTTTGCTTTGTAAGTATCTCACCTCTCGCGAGCTCGCAGCTCGTGTGGTGGGATGGGTTCTCCGGAGCAAGACTGAGGGTGCGCGTTGTGAGCAGGTCGCCCTGGACCTTTCTTCGTGTGCTCCTTTTTACGCCATTTCGCCCGTCGGTTTTGAAACCATACCTGGTGTAAAAAAAAAAAGACTCATTAGAAAAAAACGTTGACAAGCGAGCGACAAGGTTTACCTTGTCAATTTGGTTGCACTTGTCAATCCACATTGTACGTATTAGAGGGCAAGAGCTTCGATTCATTTCGTTTATTATCGGTAATCCAGAAATATAAATTGAAACCCAAATTTCTTTTTTGGGTTTCAATATACATTTCTGGTAATTTATTTTTTTTAAAACCAAATATTTTTCAGTAAGTCCAAGAAGTTTACAAATCACTTTCGATCAGGGGCTATCACGTTATTTGTCATAGCATCTACATAATAATATCGAACTCGCGACGGTATTCTCTGAAAATGAGTTAACCATGTAAGTGATTAAACATATGATTATATTCATCGATAAAATACTATGGCGATGCATCTCGCAGTCCTGCACAAAGCCATGTAAAGTGGTCACGGGCCGGGCATGAATTGAGACGTTAAATTTCAATGCACATTTCTTCATGCAAATGCGATGCGGCCGTGCGAGTGCATTCGTCGCGCCAACACTCGGATACTGTATTCTGTTTAGGCATATCGTTTGCATATTGCTTCATATATTGCCGATACGAAATACTAGCATAATAATTCATCTAGGGAGGTATTTAAATAATTATATTCATGAATAACTAACATGAAGCGGACTGGTATTTAGTAACGTCTATTTTAACTACGTAATAAGTTATTTTACATAGACACCTGAGTAAGTAAAGAATGTTAACAAATTTGATTACTGACATTTTTATCAGTTTCACGCCTGTTCTTCTCAATTGAATCAATAGACTGAATTGGACCGTAAGAAAAAAAGATTATTTAAAATGTACACTACTTACATATGCAAAGTATAAATTCTCTTTTAATATGAATTGAAATAGACATATAAATGAATTTTGAAAATAAGGTTTTTAGTTTTTAATGTAATTTTGTGTCATATATAATTTTCAATTTAAAATTTTATCACGTTTATTTACAATTGTAGACATTATATAAATGATATGATGTTTTACATACTATCATGGTAAAAAAATCGTTTATTTAATATGTTACAATATATAGTATAGATACTCTCAGTATCCTACTGGTTGGTCCATCAAAAATATAACGATTTATTGTTTATAGACAGTTTTAGAAGTAATTTTCGAGATTGTATTTTTCTGTGTAATTGTTAGTAAGCTATAAATATGAGAAAAAAGATAGAAAGGTTGTATATGAAACTAAAGTCATCATTTTTTAATTACTGATCAATAAAACCATAATTACAAGGGTCAGCAATTATTGCGCTAGTTCGCGACGGTTGCACAAATGTTCAACTATAAAAAATATCCCTTTGAATCTTCTACAGCACAAATAATTTTTTTTATAACGAATATTTACTTTCTCCTTTATATGTCTTCAAAGTGACAGAGACAAAAATATATTGTTTAGAAAATAAAGGTAGGATCACATGTGCGGGTCTGTTTTACGACTGGGCCATTGCGTTTTATGGCAAAAGACGTATTTAACTCTCGGATTAATTTGGATTAATTTAATAAAATTAAAGTTAACGCCTTCTGCGCCGAGTCCGGCCAATATAATTACGTCCGGGCCGCATCAATTGTAATGTCGGACAATTATCACGATCCCCTTATTTATCGTCCGTAAATTAATACTTACGGCTGATCCGGTGCAAAAATTAAACGTTAGTCGCCACTCGCTTAATGTTTCCATTTATTTTTTTTCAATTTGGCACCACACATTATTAATAATTATGGCTCCTATGCATACATAACTACTACTCGCATCTATCCCGCTAATTATCTCATTCAGATGGTTTATACTGATTACTACGTATGTCTATATAACAAACAAACAGTTTTACAAAAATAAGTTTAAGTAAAAAAGGTTTATTATATTTTATGTATGTTTCTTGGATATATATAATTTAAATAAAGAATAATAAGCTAAATTACAAATCTCATTTGATTTTAAAGAAATACATTCGCCAGTGACGAGGTTTAGGAGTTTTTTTAATATATCCCCGAAATTTTGGCTACTAGGATATGGATTTCTGATCCATATCCATATCTTAAGTGAGATATTGAGTGATTAATTGTAAGTTCGGTATTTAGACCTTGAGCTGACATCATATTCATCTCATCATTTACCGGTATCCGGCCGGCTATACCACTAGCGAAAACGGGAGCACTGTTCCATAATCATCCACAAAAAGTAACTACATATTAATAGTAGAGTCATAGACATTGCATGCTATAGATATCTAGGTTCAACCAAACTGAAACGAACTAGAGTAGATGGCCCCACATAAAGCAACGTTTTAATTAACCCCCACCTTTCTTGGCACTAATCGAAATACATTGATTACGGAATAGAATCGAAACGACCGCGCTGGTAATGGCCATCGGTGGGTTGTTCCCTCTCTTAATGAGGCACGTATATCGCCCCCGCCTCCCCAGACACGGGAACACCACCCCCTCCCCTACCTTCTGGAGGGGTATCATTAATACTGACTCCTGTGGGAGCATTGATGTGTTTATTTGCTTTTTCCGTAAGCAGGAATGTTTAGATATGGGAATAGCACGAAGAGATGTATATATTTGAATACTTATACATATATAGGCATTTGAATTGGGTATGGGTGATATGATTCTAATTTTAACCGGCTTCTAAGAATATATTCTCAAATTTATTTCATGTTTTTGTTTTGTATATATTTGTTGTATGTTATGTGAAGGTTTTTTCATATTTGCAGTGATATTGATGTAATTTTTTTTTGCTGGGTATACTCATGACACATAGTCTTCAATTTCAAACACTGGCTGGATGTTGACGACTTTCTGCAAAGTCTATCTCTGTAAACCTACCTCGCGTACTTGGTTACCTATATATATACACCTATATTCATCAATAATAGATCGCCCATATCTCAATAATATATCCATTTATGTTTATACCATATATACCTACTTATAAATGATTATCTGTTTCTAAGTACTTACATTGCTTACATACTCTACTATTACGTATATCACCATATTAGATAAATATATACTATTAAAAATTATATTACAATCTACGTTCACAAAATCCAAGATTACGTAGCGAAATCACAAGAAACGAGCACTCATCTACCTGATAATCACACGCCACAATACAAACATAGGAAAAAACGACAAATAAGTTCGCTCCCCAGCGAATTGCCTACTTAACTTACACGTAACGAAATTCATACGGAACACATTTGTGGAAATCGTATTGTGTCCACAATTGGCGCCTTTCCCCTAACTTAAGCAGGAGCCCGTGTAAATAAGACGAGTCCCCCTCGATGTGATGTACGGATACATTGACTTCTGTTTACGGACTGTATTTGTGGCGGGAAAAACGATTTTTGAGAGTTCTCTTTCGTCCATTCTTTTACGGGAGTGTTATGTTTTATCTATATATATGTATTTTAAGTTATGCCAGATATAAAGCTGTTATAATTGTCTTAATAAATAAAAACTTATTAAGACAATTATAATTAAAAACTCTGTGCTATATTTAAATGTAGGTAAGTATTATTTTAGTTTACACTAAATTAATAATAATTAATTAAATATTTAAAGTTTTTAGTATCAAAAAAGTGAATACATATGTAGGTACACGTCCTAAATAAAATATGTGGTATTTACCAATATTTGAATTAAGAACTCTTTTCTAATCAAGTAATATATTCTTTCCTAGTAAGTGTAATCATTACATTTGTCTATAATAACTGTATAGCGACTGTTTTTGATAGGAAAAACGATTTTTGGACGCTACTACGGTTTTTTATTCGAGCAGTTATTTTTAAGTATTACGGTTATCTCTAAAATATTTTTACACATAATTAATCGAAAAAATTAAATATGAATTACTATAAAATACAGTGTAATTTCGTCCTACTTGGTGATATGTATACATGAATACATGTGTGTATATTCATATAAATTTACTAACCTAATCTCACCTTACAATCGAAACACAGTTTACAAATCTCTACTCTGAAATAGGTGAGAATAAGGATTTTTTAGTTCTTACAACATCTACGTCAGTTTTTATTACCTATGGGTAGGTACACTACAGCACTTATATTCGCACGTTGAAACGTATATTAATGAATTAATTGAAGTTGCAATGATGTTTTGTCCTTTTTGTTTCTGTTTGTATAAATTGATATCAAAGTGCATGATAGAGACGGATATAAATTCCGCAGAATCCTGTATCTTCGGAACTACCTACAAGTCAGCATATTTTGATAGGGCTGACAAGTTTGTAATCATTAATATATGGTTTTAATTACTTATGAAATAAGGTTGGGAATATATAATAGTATCTTATCTTCTTTGGAATCTTATTTTTTAACTTTCCATTTTCAGGATAGCCATACTAATGTTATAAATGATAAAGTTCGTGGCTGTTTGTAATTTTTACACTGTTAAACGTCTGAATGTATTTCATAGACATATAGTATATTATCTTAAAAAAATAGATTCAGTTGTGGTTAACAGCTTATATCTATGTATGGGTCTTAAGATAATTTTAAAGCATAACGCTATCGAAATACAATTTTTCATTCAAACGTTTCAATAACATATACACACAGATTACAAAGTAATTATTAAAATACACCTAACTTAATCATGCGTTTGTCACTGTCCTGAAATACTGTACCTCATTAAGGCGAATAATTACATTAAATCACTTTAATATACCGCTTGTCTTGTTTGAAAGCTAGAAAATTATTCATGCGCGATAATTCGCCGCCTCGGGAACAACCCTATGAACGGCTTCATGTCTATCTTTTACCGCTAAGCCTAGGGCGGTAAACTCGGCTCATGTTTGATAGCGCCGCGCAAAGCGAGACAACAAGTGGGGATATGCATGAGAGTGATAGGGATGTTTCCGTCCTTAAATTTTATATTCTATCCGCATTTTGTCGCCTAAGCGTTCCATTTAGTGTTCCATATTTAAACCTCCCGCCATTCTTTTTCCTTTCCCAACCGAGCAAAGAATGTAAGGCGATTTTCTATTTTTTTTTCTTTTACTTTTTTCGGGGGTGTATCCAGCCAGCGCCGGTTGTGTTCAGAATACTGATGTGTACGTCAGACCGCCGACGCCCTGTTAGGGAATGAAATTGGCATATAAATGTAAATTTTATGCTATGAATTTTAAAATGAAGTCGATACTTCCGCGCTTACTGTGGAGCGAGTGAGCCTTTTTCGCAAGTTTCACCTCAGGCAAGGATGAAATTAGATTAGAATACGCCACTTTCGGTAAAGAATGGGCTTTTAACGGCTTCTGTGAAACGGCTGTGTAATATAAGTTGAGTATCACGTTCTTTTAAAATGCTCGTAAAGTTTTTATTGAATAGTTAATAAGGATGTATGGTTATTTATCAATTCAGATTTATCTGTGGTAACAAATATTTAGCTTAAATAAGTGACAAGTTATATTATATCTGTCTATCATCATACGTCGTTATATTATAAAATGATTTTGTAGTAATACGCAATATAAAATTTATAAAAGAAAATGAATGTCAATATTGCTCTACTGCGTTTTACGAAGATTGAACACAGAAGCGAACGAAAATAGAGAAATCAAAGAGCAGGAAAAAATCCACTTTACAGACGCAAACAAGTCACTTTAACTTTATTGAGCTGTAATCGAATTGTGACGTCCCTGCGAGCCGCGGCGTGCTGAGGTCGGAGCGGCGGCATCTGCAGCCATCCTTATCTGACCCGCCCATTTAAATCTATGCTATTCAATCGTGCCGTCTCGCTCGCATCCCAGGGGTGCCGCCAAGATTGCAATCTTTTGATTTATACCAACTATTAGGAGTGGTACGGGATAGTCTGTCTCTTGGAACGAGATCGTACGCGATAAACGCAGGATACGATCTACGTTAGTACTGATTATATAAATGAAATTACTTATAAGGTCCTTCTATCTCCGACCATTATATTTCTATTCAATTGAAAAACGCTCTGGTAATAGATACAGAGGTATAAATATTATTATTAATCCTGATTTTATAAAAGGTTAAAAAGGAACATGCCGAAACCGTTTACGTAGACAATTATTGTTTATGAGACCTATAATTATGAAGAGATTTAATATTTTATAGAAGTACGTATATTGATTTTATGATTTAAAAGTATCAAAATTATTTAAATGAATTTGTACCTATATAAATCTATATATTTTTTATTTTTAATCTAGGAGTTTATTTTATTTATTTTCTATCTACATACTTATCTAATAATTTTAATTCGAATCCGCCCAACTTAAGTTTACGTGTTAATAGATTAATATCTAAACATACAAACTTTCATTTATAATAATTGTCTCGCCTAAATTAATATGACTACAGGTAGAACTACTGACATAGGTATATATACCTACTTATCATATCAACTCGCCTTGGGTCGGTAGTATTCGGAAATCTGCATACAGATATTATCGTAGGCCGGGCATTATTTCTATTTCTAAACCTTATATAAAAACTTGTGGCCAGCGGCCGCGGTCCCCAATGGCCGCTTAGCCCCGGGAGGTCCGGGGAAATAAGGGGAAATCGTCCCTCATTTATATTGAACAGAAACCTTCGACTTTTTATACGTGTACGGTTCTGAGCTCTTAGTGAGTCTTGAAATGCGACAAGGACAAACAGGGATGCTGATGTATAGGTATTTCTACATGTATGTAATTTATATCTACCTAACTACTTAGGTATAATGTACCTACTATTAATTTTATAAATTATATTCTTTTTAATATAGAATAATTAAAAAATAATTTTAAGGATATCAAATCAAATAGAAAAATTTGTATCTGTCTGTCATATATAGATATGTATAATATAAGCCTTCCTCTGGAATCACTCTATCTATTAAAAAAAACCAAAATCCGTTGTGTAGTTTCAAAGATTTAAGCATACATAGGGATGGACAGACAGCGACAGCGACTTTATTTTATATTATGTAATGTAATGTATGTATGTATGTAACGAACAAATGATTTTGAATTTTGTTGGATTGTATAGTTAAATAATTACATAAAAAAATACTGCTTCAAACTGTTATTAAACCATAGATAAGAAAATGTTTCATTCTCAAGTAGTCTGATTTATTACAGCTCTGTACCATAAACAACTAAATTACACAAAGGAAATTAAGACGTTAGGCGTGAAACCTTTCGCTTCAGGCCCTTTAGTCACATGCTAAATATATTTAATAACCGACACATGCGCGCTTCACAAAGGACTCTACGTTTCATTTAACAGCCGTAGAGAATACACCTATAATTTCGTTTATATATTTGACACATGTTTCCTGTTTGAAGTTCTGGTAGAAGGTTATAATATGAGGAAAAGTTTAATACAGCAGCAATATATTATCATCGAAATAATTATTAAAACATTTTCTTCATATTTTACTAAAGCGCTAACGCGAAAGTTTACTAATTAAGCAATGATGTTTGATTATCATTTGGAAAATCATTTTGTAGACAAATAGATCATATTCTAGATTAATATATAGGTTATTTCCGAAATGATATCGTGGGATATAGAAAGTAACTTAAAAAGGTAGAGTAATAAACTTTTATTTTTTTATTATTTAGATGAATAAGGTTCAATGACAAATGACTTTCTAAAAGGTTCTATTCCTCGCAAGGTACAAACATTTGTATTCATGAGTATGATAGTTTGTACCGGTCTTGGTGTTTTCAAAAAAAAATGTATTATTCACAAAAAAATATCTAAGTATTTATATCAGTTATCTAATACCCATAACACAAGTTTTGTTTACCTTGGGACATTCCAGATAATTAAAAAGAAACTTCGAGAACAAATAATTAGTTACTCTTCTTTTCAAAATAAATAAGTATACTCACGGCAACTCTACTCTCTTTGAGGTCCAGCCTCATAGCGAGAGCTTCTCTCATGAACACGTCGGGGTAATGCGAAGCGAGGAACGCCCGCTCCAGTTCCTCCAGCTGCCAGGAGTTGAAGTTGGTCCGTGACCGTCGCCGTTTGCCGCTGTCACCATCGTCGTCGCCAACACCACCTGTTGGCGAGTTAGGATTCAATTATTTTGGGTAAAATACAGTGCCCTGTAGTTAATATAGTATAGTCCCTAGAGTATTTTTGTTAGGGTTAGTTGCTTAATATCATTTTGTATTCTGTAATTTAATAAAAAATGTTGTGTGAAAATATCATAATAATATAATAATATAATATAATAGTACCTGGAACTTATATAAAAAACAAAAAAGAAGATAGACAATAATAAAAAAAAGAAAACAAAAAAACTAAAGACAGAATACGTATAGTATAGCAATTGTCATCATGTATAACACGTGGATTAGCTGCTTTGTCATAAAACTAAAATTAAAAAAAAAACATTTTAAAACTAGTTTAGAGAATTTTTTATCAACTAATTTCTTTTAGTTTCAGATAGTACCTACCTAAGTATATAAGATAGATAAGAAGGAAGGTTATAAGCTATATTACATCATACTGCGATGAATAGTAGCGGAGTATTAATGAAAAATGTGCCAAAAATGGGGAAGTTTATTCCTCCTTACTCCTTTTGTGAGTTTCCTCTCTCTTGTATGTCACAGACGAAGTTAGGCGGGTCAGCTAGTTTATAAAATTAGCATAGAGTATTTGACTTGATAAACATAAAAGTTCTACTGTAGAAATTAATTTCATTTCATCATAGCTATCGAGTGCAACCGCACCAGTATGCAAAATATGGCGGACTCCAAATTAAATAGTAACAACTGAAACATTTTCCAATCACAGAACCGCAGGATTGAAATGAATAAGACATAACCGTAAAAGACAGCGGCAGCGTCGGCGAAGTCAATTTAGACAATTCCTCGGCCGTTAAAACAAACCCGCGACCGGGGGCTCATAAAAAAGAGATAATCTCCGACAAAGCGTCAGAACAAGTTTTTGAAAATAGAATATAATTTCTAATTTTCTCCCGGTGATTTTAATTAAAAATGGTCCCGGGAGAACGGGACGGCTGGATACCGCCGAGTTTAGGGTTGGAGTGGGACGGCGATAAATTACTCGTTTTGGCCTCGGAGGGGCTAAATAAATTAGAAGTGATTAAGAGGAGCGCGCTTCTGTTGTACGTTGAACATGTCATTATTCCGGCAGTGTTATAATTTGGTAAAAGCGGGTTTAAATTAATATGACAACAAAGTATATCGGTGCAGTGTACTTCTGTAACATTAGAAAAATATATAGGCATTTCTTTAGTACCATATCAGTCTATAGATAAAAAAAGTATACGTGACCTGCTTAAATGATGCTTATTATTTAAAATTAAATATATTAAACATATGATAAGTATATACGTACCTAGTTGAGACTATTTAGTAATTAAAATAATTGTAAACATAAGAAAAGGACCAATTACATAATTGATAAATATAAAATATTTAGTTTAAATTAATATTTCGATTTCAATTTGCCATTTTTCTGATATTCCAAAATGAAAGACTAATGACTACTGGAGACTGGACTAGACTTTACGTTCTGTGGTCAGAACGTTACACTGTCGCCTTAAGGGGAAATGCCAAATTGAGTGAGTGTGAAAGAGATAACAATACTCATCTAATGAGGAGAGTGAAAGAGATGAATACGGTTATTGTATTAAAACAAACGACCGCCTTGGGCCCGCAGACAACAGTTTTGGCGCGCTTTAATTTAGTCTCCTCAATGTTTTAATGTCGTCGGGGGGTGAGGGGTGGGGGGGAGGTTTTACTAAGTATCTATTTGAGGGTTGTATAACGCGGCTAATAAATTCGTACAGCTTATAATTTTCCTGATCTCGTGTTCTCGTGATGAAAGTATTTATCAAGGAGTATATGATCTCTCGTTTAGTAGTTATTTTGATGGTACATTCAAACTTTCGGTTAGAGCTTGTTTAGCAATTTTAATAAGATTTTCATAATTATGCTTAACTAATTGATCCGACAGAGATTATCCTGTCTTACTGAATGCGCCACTGTTAAACGTGCGAATAATATTTTTTTAATATTAATAAGTTTTTAATTATTTGCTCTATTTTCTTAATTTCGTTCCTTTTACGGAGTATTAGAAAGCAATAAAAAAAGATGACGAAATCGGTTAAGTCATTCTCTGATTATGTCGTCACCAAGGGAAGTACAGAGACATAGATACATAGATATATATGTACCTATATATATTACAGAAATTTAAGTTATTTAAAATTAACTTAAAATTTGATAAAGAATACAACTTATCAAATATCCTTAAAACGCTTTGTATGCACTTATCATAAAAATCAGTTTCTCCGGCATTAATTCCAATATCAATCTACTTATGTTAGGGAACTTTATCATAATATAACCTAAAACAAAAATTGTTAGAATCTTCTCTATCTTTCTTTGCGTTTGTTCGCGCTTATCTCAGAAACTTCTTAACCGATTTTGATGCAGTTTTCACTAATATATTTTGGTAAGGTTCACCTAAAATATAATGTTTATTTTATTCCAATCGATTTATAAAGAAAAATATTATACGGGTACAAAGTTACGGGCGCAGCTAGTAATTAAATCTTTGTAAACATACAGCCTATATAATTGTGTACACCGGATAAGTGTCCATCAGATAGCATTTTGCTTAATAGTTCTGTAGTTATCATCGTACATAAATACATAATCATGTAATGTTTTAATTATAGAGCATGACAGCATTTATTTTGCAATTTAAATATATTTAACACAACTAATTTATGCAAAATAAGTCGCATAGGTTATCAATTTCATTTGACTAGTTACGTTTACTTATAGTTTTATTGCTTTTGCTACAGTTCAAATATTATTGCAACTTATCGTTTAGTATCATTTAATAATAAACATTCGTCATTTTATGTTAAGTGATAGCTGAAATCACTGGGGCTGTTTAAAAATAAACGAATGTAAGTCATTAATGAATAATAACAAGTAGGTAAAATATGGCGTTATATAAAGATAGTGTAAATATCAAATAAAATGAACACTGCAGAGTAATATTTTCTAGTATATAATACTGTAGAAGTCAATTCTGTTTAAACAGTAAAAACATAGCAGAACTAAAAAGTACTTTTTAATTCATACTATCAATTATTTTATCTGTGATACTAACAAGAAAAATGTTCAGATATTAAAATTTTTCAATTATAGAACAATTCACTTGAGGCCAGTTCTTCTCAATTGAATGTATATATGAACTGCACGTTAGAGAAACAAAAAAATAATTTATTTTCATAAGAGGCTAAAATGTCGTATATTCATGAATTCATTTTTGATTTGATTTGATTTAATACGATTTTATTGATCTACGTAGACGGCACTAGACTGTGAGTCTGAATTAAAAGTATGACGAAATCAATATAATGAAAACTTAATACGTACTAATTAAATATGCAAGTAAATATTGTATAATTAATAAATTACTAGCTAATCTACCCCCCTTCACACGGGTGTACATGTAACATATATATAAACTTGTCTTTAGAATCACTCTATCTATTTAAAAAAAACCGCTTTACAATCCGTCGCGTAGTTTTAAAGATTTAAGCATACATAGGGACGGACAGACAGCGACAGCGACTTTATCTTATAGTACCTATGTAATAAAGTCAGTTTTGACCAAAGTTGGGAGAATTTTCTAACAAAAATCTGCAAACTGGGTAAGTTTCATTAGGTATCTATTATTTATTATATTTATTACCTACGTCATATTAATAAATTATTTTAAATAAATTAAAATAGAATGAAAAACGTCTTATATTGAAATAATTATACGTGACTAAGATTAATTAGATACATTTTCGTTATCGGCAAACCATAGAACAACTTCCCCACTAGCTAAAGCAGACATGATATTATTTTTATTATATTCATAGACAATTCCCCGACAACGTCGTCGCCAGCTAGAATTAAATGGTTCTATTCAATAAAAGCGTTTCTATTTACGATGCCTTTTATATTTCTATTATAGAGGAGGTAAGTGGGATCGATACAGCGGCGGGCGGTGGACTTCCTTGCGAATTATAGATAATTTATAGCTTATATTTCGTACAGATACTATCTTTATTAGCGTTGTCAGATTGCAATTTTATTAACATCAGAATTGGTTGTATTTATTTATTACTTTTGTATTATTGTTTTGGTAGAAAGTTGGTGGTGCGTACCAAATCGAAGTTAGATGTGTAAGAGATTTTTCTTAAACAGAATAATAATTAGCAGTATTTTTATGAGCATTTTAAAATAGAAATAATCTTTATTCAAATAAACTCAGTAGAAGCATTTTTGAATAGTCAGTAATATATTTTTGATTCTACCACTTATTCGGAACGCAAATTCATAACAAGAAGAATGAGCAAGAAACTTGTGTGTTGCTCTTTTGAATAGATGTTTTTTTATAGATAATTATATTATTACACAATAACAAGTAAGAGGCATGCCATAATCAACATAGAAACCGCTACGCACTCATTCTTAATGCAATCAGAGAATATTGTCAGCGCTATGAATTTTAAGTTTTTCTATAAAAACATTATTATCGATAACGAACTCTTTAATTTTATTTGTTTATATAAATTATTTTATTTTGCATCAAAGAAATTCACCACTGTAATCTTAGAGGAAGTTGTAGTGAGCCATTTTTATAGTTGTGTTTTTCAAAACCATAGTATATACAAACAACCTTATAATTATTAACGTACGTAACTTTATTGTTAATAAATGACACATAATAATAAGTGCTTTCTGGTTGCTCGTTGTAATGAAATTATGAGCAATCAAAACACCGTATTCGTTTATAATTCCATTATTCCAAGAATCAATAAGAATTCGGCAATCGTGGGGCGGACTCGGGTGTAAAATTGGTTAAATTTCGAATATAACGTACCGTTGTAAGTACAAGAATACAGCCGCAATCAACTATCGATGCATATACCCAGCCCGATAATTTCCATGCATGCATACGATGTTCACACTATATCTCGATGTTGGTGTCGATATCGATTTTTGGAATCGATTA